CTGGGGGAGTGGCCGGGGGGAGCCAGGCCGATTCCCCAAGAGCAGCAGCTGCAGTGGGGCGGCTCCGGGCACCGAGTCCAGTTCGACTCCGCTCCTCTGCGGTTTCCGGTCTCGAGTCTCCGGATTTGTCTCCGAGGCTTTCCCACCTGACCTCCCTTTCAGTTTCTCTGTAGCCCCCGCCCCCAGTCCACTGGAGTCCAGTCTACTCCCACTCAGGTCTCTGCAGGAAGCAGTGCCCATACCCCCACCCTTTGATCTTCCACTTCAAAGCCGCTCTCCCCACAGTGTGATTTTCAAGCCATCAGGTTTGGAACTCTAACCACAGTTGGCCATGTGGGAATCCAGAGCTTTAACCATCATGCCACCTGCTGGCCCCAGGGTTCAACTTCTCTTGTGCAGTGAATTACCTCTGTGCCATGGAACTGGCCCCGGGGTGCTTGTTTTCGATTTCTTCTTAAGTCACATATTTCAGATGGGTGATTCTCTTTAATATTTATAACCATGTAAGGGAAATGATATTGTCCTATTTTCCAGAAAAGGAAATTGACACTCAGTTATGTGATCAAAGTATTATAACTAGTAAGTGGCTGTGCTGTGGTTCAAGCTCAGGCGGTCTGACGTTAAAACTTCTGCCTTGGGACCAGCAGTTGGTGTAATGGCTATGTCACTGGACATAGTTGACTGCAGTTCACATCCCAGACCCAGTGGCTTAAACTCACGCTGGGCGCATGTGCATGCGTGCCTAAGATCCCAAGAAGAGAATGGAGGAGAAGAGATTGTGGCGTGGCCATCCCCCTGGGGGGTGATTTCTCGCTTTCTGTCTCTCTGTCTCTCTCTGTCTTTCTGGTGAACACACGTACCCTATAGCAAAAACCTCTCAATAAATAAATAAAATAAAACTTCTACCTTAATCTCCTCCCGGTTGGCTTTCTATTTGTATTTTTGAGAGAAAAATCTGGAAAGACCATGATAGTTGGTGTCTGTTGAGCCTAGTCAGTTGAAGTTTATATGAATGTTTAAGATCTCATCTGCTGTGTTGTCTGTAACTGTTTCTCAGTTGGAGGTACGACTGTTCAATAGCAAGTAGTCCAGACTTTTCACTTCTTTGGGCAGGTCTGAACTCCATACTCTTTGCAATTAACATTGACAACAAGGATTTAAACGGGCAGAGTAAGTTTGCTCCCACCGTCTCGGACCTCTTAAAGGAGTCAACGCAGAATGTGACGTCTTTGCTAAAGGAATCCACACAAGGGGTGAGCAGCCTTCTCAGAGAGATCACAGCCTCCTCTGCTGTCTCCATCCTTATCAAACCTGAACAGGAAACCGACCCTCTGCCTGTCGTGTCCAGGATCGTCTGTGCCGGTGAGTGGGGTGGGCTCTCAGGGGGAGCAAAGGCCATCACTTAAAAGGACAGCAGAGTGAGGCTGAGGCAGATGTGCTTGTTCTCTGAAAGGAATTCCAAGGGGACAGATCTTTCTTAATTGCCAGAGGATACCTGTGCTTGCTAGAGAGCAATAGAGAGGAGGAGAGAGAAAGCAACCCCCGAAGGAGCACAGTCAAGTGTAAATCCCAATAGAGAGGAGGAGAGAGAAAGCAACCCCCCGAAGGAGCACAGTCAAATGTAAATCCCTTCTCTTCCACTTCTTCTTTCTTTTGGGATTTAGAGAATGCACATATTTTTCGACCTGTAGGGTCAGGATTCAAACTCTCATGGTTATCTGGCTCCCTTAACCACTAGGCTACTGGGGTGTTCTTCCTCCCTTTTAAAGGTTATTTTATTTCTTCCATGAGAAAGTGACAGACAGACAGACAGATATCCCTAGCAGGGTCTTCATGCCATGATCCACCTAGTCTCAGCCAGGCTGGATCACGGGCCCAGTGCACAGGGAGGCCCTGGAACATGGACCCAGGACCTGCCCTTGTGGGTCTTACTGAATTACCAATGCATCACCTGGTTTAGGGGAAGGAATCTGATGTGTTTGTGTTTGCAGTTCCTGTTTGTGTTTGTTTTCTTTGCCCTCATTCACTCCAAAAGGAATCTGACAGCCTCCCCTTTGTGTGAAGATAATAGGATAGAAAAATAAACAACAAAATCAGAGCTAAAGCGATGGCATGATAATCACAGGAAGCGGATGAGGCTGATCTTTATTCATTTATTCCTTCACTCCTTGATTCATTCTATGTGCTAGTCAGTCAGCCGAGTAAGGAAGATATGACTGCCAGTATTTGACCTCAGTCTCCTTTGAGATGGGTTGGGGTAGATTTCAATGACAAATTATACAAATTATCACCCTTGTGATAAGAAAGATAACCAAGCATAGGGCGCTAGGAAGAATGTTTTCTGTTAGGTTTGCTGGTGTTGAGGGATGAGGTTTAAGTGGAAGCCTGAGGGAGGAGAGGAGTTTGCCAGATTTGATTCTAGGTTATGGGAGGTCAAATAAAGTTGGTTCAGTTAAGATTAGTTTTCTGGGGACAGTAGGTGGTGTGGTGGTTAAGGCACTGGATTCTTACATGGACATTCATAGTTAGAGTCCTGGACCTGGCAGCCTGAAAATCGTGCTGGGCGTGTTTGTGTACATGCCCAGAATCCTAAGAGAAGAATGGAGGGGAAGGGTCTGTGGCATGGCAATCTACCCTGGGTGATTTCTCACTTTCCCTCCCTTTCTGTCAAGTGCACATGCCCTATGGCAAAAACCTAAAAACACCAAACAAACACACAAACAAAACAAGAAAACTAAAACAAAAAAAGATTAGTTTTGCAAGAAATTCTATCCCCTGAGCCTTCTGGTATATTATGATGTTGCCATAGCAAAAATGGAAATTTGGGATCGAAGTGCTTAATTCCAGTAGTTTCAAATCCCTTAAGGCAGTAATCATGGCCATGCCATTCAAATTGCTATTATGGTGAGAACGCACAATCCCATGGATTCTGGTATACAGGGACTTTATTTTTTTGCCTTCTCCTCTTTAAGCAGCAACCCACGTATATTATGTAGGAAATAGGACTGTTTAAGGTTTTGTGTAACAGAGACACTGAAATTTATTTACATGGAGTATCAGTTCCAACCATTTTTAGAACTCTGCTTTTTTTTTTTTAATAGAGGTTTTTTTTTTTTTTTAGATTTTTTTTGCTCACCAGAGAGACAGAAAGAGAGAGTGAGAAATCAACCGCTGGTGGGGGATGACCATGCTATCATATCCTCTCCTGCATACCCCTCCTCCGTTCTCCTCTTGGGATCTTGGGCACGCACGCACACGCGCCCGGTGTGAGTTTAAGCCACCGGGTCCGGGACGCAAACTGCGGTCGACTACGTGGGAGTCCAGCGACATAGCCATTATGCTAACTGCTGGTCCCAGAACTCTGCTTTTGAAATGATCTTAGTTGTGATGCCCTGGTAAGGCATCACACATCACACCTTGATTTAGATGGACTTAATTTTTTGGAATTTACTCAAACATCTTATATCTAAGATTGATGATTAAGATGGTGAACAAATAGGCTCATTATCACTGGTCACAAAGGCAGTCTTGATTTCTGTCTCAGTTAGCTTTTGCTGTGTAACAAATGACTCCAGATATAGCAGCTTAAGAACGTCACAATTCATGGGACCAGCAGTTGACGTAATGACTATGTTGCTGGATTCCCATGTAGTCGACTGTGGTTTGAGTCCTGGACCAGTGGCTTAAACTCATGCCGGGCGTGTGTGCATGTGTGCCCGAGATTCTGAGAGGAGGAGAAGGGATTGTGGTGTGGCCATCCCCCCAGGGTGATTTCTCCCTTTCTATTTCTCTGTCTTTCTGGAGAGTGCATGCGCCCTATAGCAAAAACCTCTCAAAAAAAAAAAAATCACAATTCATTACCTTTTGTTTTGTTTTGTTTTGTTTTTCTGATTCTGTGGGTTCACATGGCTTTTCTTCTGGTTTCATTTGGGCTCACTCATGCACTCATGGGGCTGTTTTAGCTGTTGGCTGAGTTGGAAGAGCCAAGATAACCCCTCTCACATGTCCGGAGTTGGTGCTGGGGCATCTCGGTTCTGCCATGGTCTTTCATCCTCTGTGAGCTTGAGGCAACATCTTCATGTAGTGGTGTCTGGGCAGCTATTCAAGTGACCAAGAGCTGAAGCTGTGAGACCTCATCATGCGTAGGCTCTAGAACTCACACACTGAGATTTGTGCCACATTCTATTGGTAAAACTGAGCACAAAGGCAGCCCAGATTCTTTTGGGAGGTCACAAAAATAGATACCACCTCTGGGCTGGAGGAGCAGCAATTTCCATTGTAGAGGGCTCTTGTACAGGGATGGATTGAGTGTGTGACCATTAAGTAATTGACTACAACCACAAACTGGCTTTCTTGGTCTCATCCCCCAGCCATAAGAATACTTTTCTTTTTTAAGGAATTATTTTATTTCATTTATTATCATCATTATTATTTATTTAATTTGATCAGAGAGAGAGAGAGAAATTAGGAAAGCAAGCTGACCACGGGACTAGAACCGTGGTCAGCCATGTGAGAGTCCAGCGCTTCAACCACCACGCCACCTGCTGGCCCCAGCCATAAGAATACTTTAAGAATTAGGGGGACCAGCAGGTGGCATGGTGGTTAAGGCACTGGACACTTCCATGTGGCCAACCATGGTTTGAGTCCCAGACCTGGTGGCTTGCTTTCTCACTTTCTCTCTTTCTCTCTGTGTCTCTCTCTGGTCAAATTTAAATAAATGAATATTTTTTTAAAAAAGAATGTTTTGGGACCAGCAGTTAGCATAATGGCTATGTCGCTGTACTCCCATGTAGTTGACTGTGGTTCGAGTCCCGGACCTGATGGCTTAAACTCACACCGGTGCATGCTTGTGCGTGCCCAAGATCCTGAGAGGAGAAGGGATTGCGGCGTGGCCATCCCCCCATGGGGAATGATTTCTTGCTTTCTGCCTCTCTCTTTCTGGTGAGCACATGTGCCCTATAGCAAGAAAAAAAACCTCTCCAAGAAAAAACCAAACAAACACGTTTTAAGCATTGAAATAAGGAAAATCAATTTTGTAATGGTAGTTTCTTTGAATCAAAGTGATGTCATTGGAGGATCAATTTTAATATGTGCTGGTGTGGTGTGACTATATAAATGGAGGTTGAGGCCCATATCCATCTTGTTCAGTCTTCTGCAGACAAACTTTTTTTTTCAAGAATTGAAAAACAAATCGGGACCAGCAGTTAGCATAATGGCTATGTCACTGGACTCCCATGTAGTCGACCACGGTTTGAGTCCCGGACCTGGCAGCTTAAACTCACGCTGGGCGTGTGTGTGCGTGCATGCCCAAGATCCCAAGGGGAGAATGGAGGAGAAGGGATTGCAGTGTGGCCATCCCCCCTGGGGGATGATTTCTCACTGTCTTTCTGGTGAGCGCACGCGTCCTATAGCAAAAATCTCTCAATAAAAGAATTGAAAAACAAATCGGGGGTTGGCCTCATTAGCCTAGTGGTTGAGAAAATTGGACCCTACATGGGCAACTGTGATTTAAATTCCAGCCCTGGTGCTTAAAAATATGCCAGGCTTGTGTGTGTGCGGGCCCCAAGTCCTGACAGGATAGAGAAATGGAGGAGAAAGGATTGCACTGACGGTGCCCCACTGAGAGGAACTTCCTTCCTGCCCCTTGCTCTCTTTCTCTCTCTCTCTGGTGCATGCACACGCCTTTTGACAATGAAAAACATCTGGATTTTTTATTTTTTTAAAGTCCCCCCCCCATAGGGCACATGTACTCAACAGAGGGAGACAGAGAGAGGAAAAGTGAGAAATCACCCCCTGGGGAGATAGACAGGCCATAATTCCTTTGTTTCCATTCTCCTCTTCAAGTTTTGGGCATGCACACACACTTGCCTGGCAAAATTTTCAATCCACTGGGTCTGAGACTTGAACTATGTCGTCAGCCATGTGAAAGTCCAATGCCTTAACCACCATGCCACCTGCTGGCCCTATAATGTACTTTTTTTTGGAATTATTTATTTATTATTATTATATTTTGCCATAGAACATGTGCACTCACCAGAGAGAGACAGAAAGTGAGACTGAGAGAGAGGGAAGGTGAGACAGCAAGTCCCCTGATCCAGGACTCAGACTGCGGTCGGCCATGTGGAAGTCCAGTGCCTTACCCACCATACTTTTTTTTTTTTTTTTTTTTTTTAATGAGGGAAAGAAAGAGAAAGAGAGAAACAAATAGAGCTAGAGAGGTAGATATCTTTGACAGGGTTTCACTGTGTTCCAACCTTCCTGTCCCATCTTCACAGCTTGGATTACAGGCACCTGCCACTGTGCCTGGCATGTTGAAGTCCATGCAGAAACTGAACTTGGGTCTCACATATGACCCCCGCCTCATGCAGTGGTGCCTTACCGCTTGTACTCCTGCAGCTGGGCTGCTCACAACTTACTTTAATCTTACAATTTCTTTCTCAGTAAATTGATTGAGGATTTTTCACAAACTGCAGGTGAGTAGGCTCCATCATCCTTTTGTCTTACCTCCTTTTTTTTTTTTTAATGCCGTATCTTTTCTTTTGTCAGATGCCAAATGTAAAAAGGATCGGAAG